GGAATACGATAAGACAAAGCCTTCTCATGCAATGAATTCAGCTCGCTTTCGTAGAAAAAACCACTAGAAATTTGTGTTTGATTTACTAGCCAACATCAATGATACTGATAGGTTGATATCAGCAAGTAGCAGTTTTACGAAATTATATATTTCTTACATAATAAAATGCATCTCGTAATTGTACATTTTCATATATATAATAAATAAATAAATTGCACAGCTGTGAATATGGTATTCGGCCACTGAGTCAATTAGGCTCATTTGGGCTTGAGTTGAATTAGATCAATTGATTTGTCTTTATTCTGGGTTAAATATAAGAGTTTAATTGTTATTAATGTAAAAAGTTTTAAACATCAATTCATCAAACATTAAAGTTTGCATGATTTTTTAAATAATTATCATAAAACTTAATAAATTTATTATATATGGTAAATTGTAATCAGATAACAGTGCAAAATTACTTTATATTTATATTTGTGAGTCTATCCCCTAAATTTAATTTAACTTATTTATTTTATGGTTTATCATGATTAAATATGTGTTGAGTTGACTTTTTTATTTTTTATTTTTTAGGTTAAGTGTTTTTTTCTTTCCCAATAAATACATCTTATTATACTAATTTTAGTCATTAAGATATATAACATGTAAATCTAGTTATTTAAGGCTTAAATAAATCAATTTTTGTCCTATAATTTTGTGAATGTACAATTTTGTATTTCTCAATTTTTTTTATTATAAATTTGGCCTCATAATTCTCAAAATTAAGTAATAATGTTGCTCCATTCATTAATATATTATTCAAAATTATATAAAAAAAATATTCTATGTTATTCTTTACATAGAACTCAAATTTGGATGATATGTTAATGAGTAGACCAATATTACCTAATTCTAAAAATTAAGAAGATTACCTTCAAAAAAAAAAAAAGAATTAAAAAGATCAAATTTACGATAAAAAATTTGAAAGACTAAAATTGTACATTGAAAAAATTATAAAAATTCAAAATAAATTTACTTCATTATTTAATTATATTTTATTTATAAAAACTTATAATAATACACTAGCTTATCTTATATATAGATAGATATAAAATTAGAATGACAATAGACATTCCAAGTCATAAATATACCTAAATTGTGGCTAAAAATGCAATGAACCTATTTATAATTTATTTTTCATTTAATGTGTTAAAAACATTTAAATTCAATTTTACTTTTGTATATATATTATTTATTTTTAATTTTAGGTAAGTCAACCTATATAATTCAGCAATGCACGGTGCTTTGAGTCAAACCTACCATTTTTTAGTTCACTAAAAAGTAAAACATGTTAGATTTACTCACTATTTGATCAACTTAGTAAATCAATCTAAGTAAGTTGGATTGACTAACTTTTAGAGCTCCTCAAATTACCTATTCTTTATAAAATAAATATCTCACTCTTCTACCATTTAAAAATGTCACTATATATATGTGTGGACTTTTAGAAGACATTGAAAAATATCAAGTTAGAAATATTGAAGAAAAAAATTGATAATTTGAGTCATCTTTATAATATAAAAATATTGACTAAATTATTATTTTAGATCCCATTTAAGCCCTAATCAATAATTTTGATTTCCTTATTTTTAATTACTCAATATTAATCTTCCAATTTTGAAGAATCTATAAATTTAATCTAATCATCAAATTCACAAACTATAATATGTTGTTACATAAATATCAATGTGATAGTTGTTATACTTCACATACATGCAATAATATGGCAACATTGAACATCATTGAGTTTCCACTTTCTGCACGAGAAACTTTCCTAAATTTAAACAGTTAACATATATAAACTTGATGGTTAGACCAAAATTACATATTTTTAGAAACTAGAGAATCAAAATTGTGTAAATAAAAATAAGAAGACCGATATTACAAATTAAATTTTAAAAGAGAACTAAAAGTTAAGTTTAGTGAGAGAAAATCAAATTAATGTGATGAATAAAGTAGTAAAAGAGGTGATTGTTCACACGCTCAACTGTGCTATTTAAACTCCACCTTTTAAAAAAAAATATACGTAAGGAGAATAATTCTAATATTTGACACCCTATGGATCACAAATGCACTATAAGTTTTCATTGTGTATTTGCCGTAAGTCCGCTGTCATTGTTAGGGTCATCGCATCCGAGGTATTGTCCGCTTTGGCACTCGTTGGACCGTCACGGTTTTGTCCTTGAAAAGGCGCCTCG